AAGGGATATGTAGGTGGGGGTGGGAATTCATTACTCCTCTGCAAACTTACCAGACTCCTTTATGAATTTTAGCAATTTGTTGAGGGAAAGAGAATGTACGTCGTCCATTCTCAGTACATCCGACCCAAAAATGTACCATCTGAGTCTGACGAAGGCCGGCCAGCGGCAGAGAAAATGTTCTCTACTATCCTCGTCCTCCAAACACGATATACACAATGGATCGTCGATGATGCCTATGGTGACCATATGTCGTCCCCATGGATTGTGCATCGTAATCAGTCCTAACAGGGCTCGTAGATCACTCCTTCTTTGTCTGAGAAGAAATTTTGCTACCACCCTGTCAGGCCTCTTAAGGAAACAGTTGGTTGTTTTGCAGGTGTCAATAGTGCACCAACGGCTCTCATGAGTTTTGCTTATTAGATCCTTGATGCACCGGATCGTTCCCGCTACGCTTGGCCCTAATTGGCTCCGGTCCAGTTGGGCACTCCAGAGAACCGCGGTTCGCCAATTCATCCGCCAGATCGTTACCTTGAACACCGTGGTGTCCTGGCACTCACACAAGTTCAAGCTCATTCCATCTTGTAACGGAGTTCAGCCTCAACTTACATTCCTGGACTAACTTTTAAGATCCTCTTGGATCGCTAAATCCAGAGGCGACAAATTCAACAAAGCATTAAGAGCGGGTCCTGACGTTGTACTCATGGCACGTGGCAGAAACTAATCGACTTTCTTGCCCATCCTCCATTTGCTTACGCGCCATTTGCATTAGGAATGGAACTTTTCTAAGTATTTATTAATCAAAATAGAATAACGAAATAGAATATCGAAAATAGCCAAATGAATTTTAGTCAACACTTGTACAATGAAATTACAGACTTTAATTTTAATATATTACCAATAATTTTGAAAAGTGCTAAGAAAACAGCTAGGTGCTAAATAAATCCCAATTTTCGGAGCTAATTAGAAAAATAAAGAGCTAGATCTTGCTCCAAAAGCAACAAAATGGCAACACTGATTTCAATAACCACTGAGCAGAAAATTAGGTTATTTTTATTTTTGAATTTTGGGCGTGGCGTCGCCCACTTATGACCGCAAATGTGTATCTTGGTAACCGATTTATCAATTTCTACCAAACTCGGGGCATTTAATAACCTTGGTATGGAAAGGAAATTCGTTAAAAGTTATACAAATCGGACTAAAATTACACCCGCTTTCCGTATAACGGTAAATTTCGGATATACGAAAATTCCGATATATCAATAACTGAGGACGCTCATTTACTCCAAGTTAATACTTACAACAAGAAATAAGACTGTTATAGACTTTTAGATAGTTTAGAGAAAATTGGTCGCCCGAACTTATACTTCTTTACTTGTTATTAGTTAATTTATATTTTTTAAATTTTTAACTTGAAGGCGTGCTCGTCCTTAAGTATTTGGTTTTTTGTTATTTTTGGCCTAATAAATTATATTAAAAAAAATTTATTGAGCTTGAGGTCGTTTTTTTTAATAATTGTAGAACAAACAACAAAGTTTTTAAATTGGTAGAAGTTATAGCTGCTATTTCGCTGGGGTCGCTGTGTCGAATCCAAGTGTCCGCGGTGGAGAAGTTTGATGAGATGTGGTGATCTCCGAAATAGCAACTATAACTTCTACCATTTTAAAAACTGTTGTTTTTTTCCACAGTAAATTTTTCACAAAAACGGCCTCAAGCTCAATAAAAATTGTTTAATATGATTTATTAGGCCAAAAAAAAAAAACAAAAAACTAAATCTTTTTTACACTGAAAAATTTAATACATAAAGTGAAATTCCTAGTAATTTTTTAATTACTTTGGTGCTGCAGGTTTTATATAAAGAAATGTACGATGCTTTAACCTAAAACATTCTCTTTATTCAGTACGATAAATGTTTAAGTGAGCACACAATCGTATTTTTATACATTTGCAAATTATTTGCTTTTGTCATTTGAAGCACATAGCAAAACATGCATTTTAAACAATAGCAGTAAAATTCGCAGGGCCACCAAATCCAGATAATCTACCTGAAGATGGAAAACTGAAATCCGAGATGATGATTAAAGATAATAGACGATACTATTTAGATTTAAAAGAGAATGCGCGCGGACGTTTCTTACGAGTGAGTATAAATGAATATTATATGAAATATACTACGTTTACATTGAACCCAAATGTGTAATAACCGATAAGTTTCTTTTTTTGTTATCAAAATTTGCCAGTAGCCAAAACTTGAGGTTGCAAAAAAGCTTGTGAATGCTCATATTTATTGAGTTTGCTTTTCTCGAAATAATGGTGCATTTATTCTGCCCTGTGCCAGCGCTGTCAAATTTCCGTGTTTTTTCACAGCATTTTCTGTAGGTTGCTTGTTCTTTTCTCAACATTTTGCCACCTGACTAAATTCCAACATTTTCATTTTCTACCCTTGTCAAGGCGTAAGGGTATGCATTGCCCAGCAGGTTTTGGCTGATAATTTCGGATTTCCATACAAAATTAAGTAAGTTTACGAGGTTTATGTAGTAACGAGGAGGTTAGATTATTTGCCCTAGATCTATATATTTTTTTAATTTAATAAAATAAATTGTGAATGAGATTGTAAAATACTAGATTTTTTGGCATTTGTTTGTTTTCTTATATAAAAAATGCAACATTTTCACAGTGCGCATGTACATAATGTTGTCATATAATGATGCAGCATTTGTATTGAGAAAACAAAAGCTATTAGACTTATAGCCTAGACAAATGGCAGCGTTATTACGAATTAACGCCTTAATTCGGAACTATATCGGAAATTAACTGCAGCTATTTTAACTAATAATTTAGTTTATTTTATTTTATTAAATTTTTATTTTACAGCATTTGATTTTATTTCTATTTATTTTATTGTATTTATGTAAGTTTTATTTAAATTTTCTTTGATAATAATAATAGATTGGCGCTTACACATATGAATGTTAGTGTTTGGCCGTGGCGTGCGCCTTGATGTTTTCACACAAAGGGGAGGGACTAACAGTTATACGCCGACTCCGAACGGCGATTGTATTTTTATGAGAAGCTGTTTTTCATGGCAGAAGTACACTCGGAGGTTTGCCATTGCCTGCCGAGAGGCGACTGCTGTTAAGAAAAAACCGGTTTTTCTAAATTTTTTTTGGGATGTTGCTTTGACGAGGGTTTGAACCCATGCGCTGCGGAGTGGAAGCGCGCGCTGCTTACCACTACACCACAGCGGCCGCCACTTAGCTTACATTAAGTCAATTTAATTTTGAGCTTAATGCCATTTAAAAAAGTCCAAATCACGCAATAAAAAATAAATAAGTGCGGATATTAAAAAAAAATTAAGTAGGTATTCAGATGACGTTGTAATGGCTTAAAGTCCTAAAACTTTTCAACTTAGAATAACGTTAAAGAGTTTTTTAAAGGATTTGCAACTAATCAACATGTTTTTAAACTAACAGAAAAACATAATAAGCTTATATTTTATCCTATCAATTCCCTAAAAGCAAATTAACCCCTTGTTACATTGCCTAATTTTACGATGTCTTCTGAATACCCAAAATATTTTGATTAGACGGCGGAATCGAAACCGGGACCATGAGACAATTTTTTGCTTAATCGGCAATACTTTAGTCTGTCAAAAACAAATTAAATCGAACCAATTGTGCTGTCAATCTGGATTAACGCTGTCGTCTGTCTATGCTTTTGAATTTTTTGCAATTGGATTTATTTAAACGGACGTTGGCAATGCGAATGCAAGATGTGGCTCGCCCGAATCTCTTTAGGTAATTGAGCGGCCTTGTTTACTTATTCCAAATGCTACCAGTATTTCCATTACGTGATCTTGCTATGTCCCAGATTTCCTTGCCTTCTACCATCTAAACTGTGTAACCACTTGAAATTATGTGAAAAATACATTGGCGCTTCGCATATTTTGCTAAGCCTTTGCCGCGCTTCTTTCTAATTTATGTTGTGTTATAAAAATGGAGGAACCACAAACGGGTTTTTGGTTTTGCGACCGCTATAAGAATGGATGTTGGTTGGATCAAGGATCGGCTACAGGGTAGAAATGCATAACTCTGCAAAATGCAGAAGTGGGAAGCCTCGACAGTTGAATGAAGCTTTCGCTGCCTTCCCAAACAGAGCATGTATGTATACGCGACTATGATGCGCAGTCGCCTGCCAGGCAGACGCTGCCCAGCTCTGCTCTAAACACTCGAACGCAATGGTCACAAAAATGTAGCGGAGCCACGCGGCTTTCACACGTACAAGTCGTGTGTACGAAGCATGGCGAATCTATACAAGGAGGTGTTACAGATTGTCAAAATATAAATTCGCCTTGGATTCGCCTTGGTACGAAGCAAGGATAGAAATGCAAATTTTCCAATTGTATTCAATTTAAGGGAAAAATTTTACTTAAAAGCTGACGAAGGTACTAAAAAAATAAGGATGTAAATTTTGTTACACATTTCAAATCACGTCAAATCTGTTTAACAGTACAAAAATACGACGGCAATCTTCCTTCCCTAATACGATAAGCTCTGTTCAAACTGGAAGAACTTTTCGAGGCTAAACAAGGCGAATCATTATCTTGCCCCAACCCTTATCTACGTGCTGCAACAACTTGCTACTACTCAATGAGAGCTCTTTTGATATGCTTCTGAAACGTTTTCTCGCCAACAGACTCTCGCATTCGCTTGGTATCTTCGTATGCCGCCAATAAGTTGATTCTGCTTGTGGAGGAAAGATTGGTACAATTGCTCGAAAAATATTGTCGTAGGTATAGTAGTTTTGTATTTAGACCGAAGATAGTTAAAAAAATTAAAGCAATGTAATGTAGAACAGGTGAATTGTACTAAAAGTGTTCCGAATGCAATGAATAAGATGAGTTTTGTTCTAAAATTGGTTACAATGTCACGCAGTAGCGGACAATGGGTATGATTAACGATTTACTGATATTTAGGCACTTAGTCAACGAATGTTCGTGTGCGGCGTTGGCATGTAGAGAAAGCATCCGCTTAGAAAATCTGAGAACCCCGGTTCGAATCGCAGCTGCCGTCAAAGGGACCCTTATGTTACAAAAGCTCTTTTCACAACTTTAGTTAGACCAATATTAGAATACGGATCTGTTATTTTGAATCCCCGCTATCACAAATGATCACTCAGAAAGGATGCAAGTCGTAGAGAAATGCTAAGTGTTATATTCATCGTAAAGTTAATGACAGGCGTGATTAATAGCCTGTCCCTTCTGTCCGGATTAAACGTTACCATTCCCACTCGTGTATCAAGACACTTTTGACCTCTGTTTTTAAAGCCATGCAAAACTAATTTTGAATTAAATGAATCATTCCGTTGTTTCTGTCAACTTTCATCCAGCATATGTCGGACTCCATTTTCACTTTAAAGAAAACAATCCTTTCCTCTTTCAATAATTGAAATACAATCAAGCTGATGAATTTGATTCTGTAGCTGAATAGTTTTAGATCTCGACACTCAACAAAAACTCCTGTTTTCCGCGACTCGGCACTAAAAAGTTACGTACGTCGCACATAGGGGTATTTGGCCGATTTAGGCGGCCAAAATTATTTTTATGAAAATTTGATTTCAAAATGTTTAGAAAAGACGTGTTACGATTTTTATTTTTATGAAAATTTGATTTCAAAATGTTTAGAAAAGACGTGTTACGATTTTTATTTTTATGAAAATTTTATTTCAAAATGTTTAGAAAAGACGTGTTACGATGTCTAAAATTCTAAATGTTTAAAATCAAGTAAATATAGGTGGAGGACGTACAATTATTCCTCCAAAGCAACGCAAATAAAGTTGGTTAAAGTTTGCCATGGATAGACTCTATGTTGCCGTGACCCGAGTGTAGAAACACGCACACCTACATACGTGTTCGTCTCGGCGATGTTTATATATAGGTTAGTAAATGCAAAGAGTTGCCACCTGGTAAAAACTTAAATATAGTTAAGTTAACTGAATTACTACAATATGGGTATCAATTGAAATGGTTTTGAAAGGCTTCATTTCTAAACAACATGTGGCTAGGTTACCACCTGTTTAAAAATGAAATTCAACTTTAACTAAGGGAATAACAGACAAATTATTATTTTTTTATAACGTTGCTCAAAAATTCGTTTTTATTGTTAAAATTCGTATGGACTTCCTTGAGATATAAGATACAAATAAAATGATGGAAATAACCAATTTTATCCTGTAATGCAATGGATAATAAATGTGTAATTGAATTATAAAACAAAATTTGTGTAAAAAACTATTTTAGGATGATGATGAGTGCCAAGATTCTTCATCGGACCCTTCTTCATCTTCTGAAGACTCTCCAGACTTCGTGTCATCCTTAGTTGGTTCAGCTGGAAGCAACATATCGATTTCTTCCTTTGAAAGGGGTTTGGTTGCTTTTTTTGGCTTTGGCCTGAAACTACTAATGAGTGGATCAGAGCTTAGGAGTAACCTGTTCAACACGACCAGATCGCGGCTGTTGCATACCTTTGGGAATTGAAAATGTTCCTTGTAGCCATGTTACGTTACTTTAAAAAAAAACTTCTTCTTTTCCACGGGCTTTTATCCATCTTTGTATAAACTGTGCTTTTATTTGTGAAAATTTGTGCTTTATATCTCTTATTTGCTCATCGGAGAAGGTGTCAGATGATAATATGTCATTTTGAAGAAACTTTATTTTGTTCCCCAAATTCATAGAATTTTGTCGACGCATCTTATCAAATAAATATTTTCGAGTTACTACTCTATAGCAGGAACCAGTTGGTGACTCTAAAGCAAAGGAAATACTTAAAAATGACAAAATATGAATGGAAACGATTTTTTTTTAGATCTATCTTAATTATTAGTCATAAAAAGCTCATCGGTAGCTTTCAGAAGCTAATTTTTGTGCAGTATACTATCAAAGCTCCATTCTATAGAACGCAACTAGTAATGTAACGTGGAAATGCGTGGAAGTATAACTAACAGCTTACGGTTTACAAAGTAATGAAAAAATAATCACTAAAAAAATAAAATATTTCCGATTACTTACATTATTACTTAGATTAAATTTTGCTAAATCGAAACTATTTACAATAAATGTAGATTTACCTGTGTCTTCAGACT